CGCTTCCCCCACCCGGCCTGCCCCCCCGGGCGAGCCGCAACCGGAGCGGCTGCGGCAGGGACCAGGTTGGCCCCACGGCCGGATCCCCCCGGGCTGGGGTCTCCATCGGCACACCAACCCGGCATCGCCCTCCCCCTTTCTCCTCTTTTTGTTGTTAAAATGGCCGGTCTCTGCATCCACCGAGGGCCTTGGGGGTGAATCCTGATCGTTTGCTAACGATATCAGCAATTAGGCTCACACGCGTGAGCAGGACTTGAAGGGATTAGGCAGCACAAAACAGCATGTGGTAAGAAAAGGGGAGGTTTGGATGCAGGGACCCTGCTGGAAAGGTGTGTTTAAATTCCCCAAAGCTTATTAATCCTTCCCCGAGAGTCAAATCGTGTGTAATCCCTCTGTCTCCCCCCCCACCCGGACATGTTTTAGTCCTCCCATCCCTTAAGAGCCAACAGCTCCAGTGTTTTTGATCCGCGTTGCCATGGAAAAACTATGAGATTTTTGGTTTTATTTGAAATGTTGGGAGCAAGTGAGAGCGGGAGGAAGAGGAGGGCAGGTCCAGGCAGCCACCGAAGCCGGCAGCATCAGGGGTGGCTTTGCTGCACGCGTTGAAGATGGGATGGAAGAGGAGAAGACCCTGGGGGAGAGAGATCCCTCGTCAATAACGCTTTGTGCTTCCAAAAAAAAAGACTGAGCCAACCCAGGCTTGCCTCTGACGGCACTATTAGTGCCCATTATTTAAAATCTCCCTTGATTAAACTATTAGTGCCAACGGAGGGGTGCAATTTGCATATGATTAGCGCCTCTGCTCAGTGCAGAGCCTGTGGGCTTCTCCCTCCCCCACTGACGCGGAGAGAGAAAACGAAAAAATGAGGAGCGACCTGGGTCTGTGCTGAATTAAACCAATTTCAGTATTTCCTTGTGCCCGGAGCTGGGAAGAGCAACAGCGCTCAAGGCAAGGCTGGAAAAGGTCCCCTTCGGGAGGAGGTTTCGGGTGTGATCCAGCTCTGCTCGAGGCAGGAATCAGGGAAGCTTTTATCCCGAGGCAGCTCCTGCCATGCACGTGCTGATGCCCAAGCTGAGCTGCTTTTGGCCAGCAAAACCCAGGGGCCAGACCTGCCGTCCTCCGTGGGCAGCCTGCTGCCACAGGGACCCAAGTGAGCTCCATCTTGCAGTCTTCAGATGCTCTTTGCACCCCTAAGAGGACACCCGGTCACCACCAGCAAGGCTGGACCCATGGCTGCAGCTCCTGGCGCACACGGGCATCCCGGCACCCCTTCAACCACCAGCCTCGCCCTCCAAAACCACACTGGCACCGGCTCCCTCGTGGCCCGGCGCAACTGAGCATGGTTGTACGGGGCTCCTGCGCTGACGAGCAGCTTTTTGACATATGGATGTGAATGGTCTGATGGACTAATTAACAGGGACTTCCAGGACTGCCGAGCGGCTGGAGCGGCTGCACGGGAACCCGAAGCCTGGCTCTAAGCCCGCTGCTTGTCCAAGTGGCGTGAAAAGCAATGATCAAACCCAGCCATCCCGTGGTTTTCTGCAATTCCCCCTCAAATATAAAAAGCTATTTGAAGGGGGATAGCAGAAAGGTCGTCTCCTGGCAAAAGGTTCAGATACGGCAGCGGCATCACCGTCCTAGTGCCCCCCCGGGGACCCCAGGACTGTCCGGTCCGTCCTGCCCCAGGACAGTCCTGCAGCACGCAGGAGCAGGAGGCTGTTTTGAAAGCAAGAACCACGCTCCTCAGGACTATCATTCCCCACTTATCCATAAGGACAGAGGTTGCCTCCTCAGAGCAAAGCGCCTTGGAGCTCAGCAGAGGATGTTTCAGGAAAAAAATTAGGAGAGAACAAAGTCGCCCTTTCCCGTCTCCTGCCAGCTGCTGCCCAGCACGTGTCAGGGACTCCTGAGCCCCAGCTCGCGCTGGTGCGGTGGTGAACAGCCCTGACGGTTGGGTCTGCCAGGAGCACACCCCTTCCCTCTCCGGACCCTCACAGTCCTCAGCCCCAGACACCATCCCGGGACGGTCTCGACTCCCTGACTCCACTGCACACTGGCCTGTTGGATACCCGTCACCCAGCCATTCCTGGGGGGCCTCGCAGGCCTTCCCCGTAAGAATTAGGGAGAAATCAAACACTTTTTCACCAGTCACGATTTTATGCATCTCTGATATTCCCAGTTGACTTCCTGGGCCAGAAGGTCCCAGCCTTATTGCTTCTTGTACGGGAGCTGCTCCACGCTGCGGAGTGTCTTGGCCAAGTCTCTCGCTACCATTCCCAGGGCCGTTTGATCCTCTTTGAGATAAGGGGACCAACATTTAAGACGGTGCTCAAGGCATTTGTATAAATCCACGGGGCGCCCACCTCACGGCATCTCCCACCCTCGTCGCAATTCTCTCCCCAATAATTTCTGATTTTCCACAGCTGCAGTTTTGTTGACTGTTGTCAAGTTTTTGAGCTTTTCTTTTCTTCCTAAGAAGCATCTGCAATGACTCTACATTCTCCGACTGTATTGACGACAGCCAACTGAGAGCCCACAGCTGCAGGGACCCCAGGGATGGTCCTGGTGGGAGGACCCTGCCTCCCCGCCCGCAGCGAAGGGAAAGACACGAAACCAAGCTCAGGCTTTGCCTTCCCCTGCCTAAAGTCATCAGGATTGCCATCGCGTCACGGGATCTTACGGACTTACGGATGCAGCCTCCTGTTGGGTGGCCTGAGCTGCGAAGCGGGCCACGTGGTTGACGATGGGGGAGAAGTTGGTGGGTCCGTAGAAGCGGATGTGGGGCAGGCAGGCCGAGTACGCTTGGACAATGCCCTCCACACCTTCAGGAAAAGCAGAGAAGCCAGGCATTACAATGTGCCACAGCTCAGGCCTGCCACAAGTC